GTGTGTTTCTAATCGTCCTCATTGTACATTCTGTGCTTTTGCACTGCTACCATCACATTTTATGCTCAAATTGAAGCTGAAATTAGTTAAGCATATTTTAATTCTGTGGAATACTCCAAGACCCTTGCAATCCCTGGTTCCAGTTGAAAAATGGTAATTTCTACTCTCTGAATAATAAATCATCAGATGAACATTGAAGTTCTTAATAATTTTATCTTATCACCTATACAAGTAAAATGAATATATTGGACTGGATTTTCCGAGGAATGGCAATCGCAGATTGCTAGTGCACTCTGACTTTTAGCTGTTAAGACAGACCACTTCCATTTTTGGCAGGTGATTCTGATCATGGCTTCTTCAGCAAGTGGAGTGTACCTTTTAAATTCAGCTGTATCCTCCTACTGCAAGATGTTTGGGGAAGGCAAACACCCCAAACTATGCCCCTATTTTCATGGCAGTAATCACCATATTCTGTGTTTTGTTTTTTTTAAAAATTCCAGTAGCACAGCCACTTTGACATCTCCTATGAAAGAGTAATTATGTAAGACATGTGTGAGGTGCCAGGTAAATTTTGGAGTAGCTAGGGTAGATTGAGGTGCATATTTGGTACAGAGGAGTTTTGGCAGCATGGTATAGAAGATCCAGTGGCCAGGGAGTGTGTTTTGTCAGGCAAGTGGATCTCTGGGTGTTGAGTCCAGAGGATTGGTAGGTGTTCGGTCCCTGGGGGAGATGGGGAATGTGATGTCAGGTCAGGTCACATCACATGAGGGGAGGGGTGGTGGTAGTATTGGCTTTAAGTTGTGAACACAGTGGTGGAGGTGTTAAGTTTTTGGGATCAACTTAATCATTATCCAGGAGTTAAGCATAGGTATCTAATCTGCAAATGTATCTTGGGTAATTAATTTATTTGCGGCAAAATTCTCAGAAGTCTCTGATTTAAATGGATTCTTTGTGGTTTCAGGCATAGGGGAATTGTCCATCAGAATATTCAATTTCCTGGAAAATTTGCTCAGTCTGCTCCTTTGGGGATTCCACAGGGTCCTGTCATGCAACTCGCATCTATACTGCAGAAACAATGTCTGACAATCTCAAAATTCAGGTCCTAGTTCTTTCCACAGGAGCAGTGGACTACATTGAAGACAAAGGGATAGAGTTTCCACTCCACCTTTGGCACAATTCATGCGATCAGTGCATCTGTACAAAGATTTGTAAATTTTATGTTGAGTTTAGTGCAAATAGATGTTTTGTGATCTTTATGCTAGTTTTAGAATGTCATCCTTGAAGACTGTCCTCTCCACAACTGGACACACTTCCACAATGAATTAATCATTGAGTTTCTGCTAATTTTAGTACTTTTTTTTTAAAAACAGCTTTAACAGCTAAAATTTTGACAGGTTCTTCTGGTTGCAGGCGTACACAGGCATGTTTTGAAAGCATTTGAATGATTTTTCTTAACTAAGTAATTGTTAATCGGTTTGTTTATAAAATGATTCTTTTTATTTTTGGACGTGTTCAGTAACTTTAAAGTTTGATAAAAGCCCTTTTTTTTGTATAAATTACCCTTTAAAACTGCCTGCTTGTATTTTGCATTTGATTGTATGCGATGAGTCCGAGTGTAAACCCTAGAGGGAAGATAAACACTGCTCAAAATGGTTGCAATTTTTGACACTGTCTGGATCCCTAAATGTGCCCAAAGTCGAAACTGTACGCCACAATTAAAATGTTATTTTGTGTCTGTATCTCTAAATAAATTTTTATGTATATGAACCAGGTATATATTTTTAAGTTGTTTAATTTGTTATTAAGGCAGCTGGCTGGCATATTCAGCTGTTATTGAAGTTGTATTTGAGCATATCTTTTCATGCAGCTTTCTAAAATTAATTGCAGATTTTTAAGTTTAGAATTTTTGATTTGTTTTAGGCCAGAACTGCTTGAACAACTCTGGAAAGCAAGAGATGACAGAAAGAAGTTACGTAAGACACTGCGTGAGTTTGAAGAAAAATTTTATAAAAAAAATGGAAGGTTTGTTCATGTTGTTCTTTCATATTTTTTTAATTGTAAGAGCATGCATTGAGAAAAGACTCCTTTATTCATCTCTTCTCCCGACTCCACCTTTTCTTTCTCACTCTCTCTCCTCCTTTTTCTGTCCACTCCCCCGCCTCCATAATCCTCTCATTCACTCCTTCTTCCTCACCACCCTCCATGATCAACGTAAATACCATCCTTTCTTTGCTGCTGACAGTTCTGAAGAAGGGTCGCTGGACTCAAAACATTAACTCTGTTTTCTCTTAGATGATGCCAGACGTGTTAAGTTTCTCCAGCAATTGTTTTTGCTCTGTTTTAGACTTCTGAGGCTACCATCAAGATGCCAATTTGCTTTTGAATGGGTTTCCGACTTTGAGTTCACAGCCTGACCCCTGTCTACCAAACATCCTTCCCAATTGGATTTGTAGACCTCAGTACTAATGCTAAAGACACGATCCATTTGTAGATCAAAACCCTAAGTTTTTAAACTGAATATTTTTCTTTAGTAAATTACATAAAATCACGACAGTGGTTCCTATAGGATGTGATAACTATAAAACCTATTATCCACTACATGGTTAGCATCCTAGACCTGATTGTAGCACAGCATGGCTTTGAATATGGTGGATAGTCCGTGTGCAGTATAGCACTCATGTTAGTGTTCAATTGGTTTCCAATATGTACTTTTCAGTATAAAATGACTTTTAGCACATTAATTTGCAACATGCCTTCACTCACTTCGATGTGCAATATAAATTTGGACCAGCCATACAGATAAAGTAAGATTTTATACGTAAACAAGTTTGTTATCTGAATGAACATTTTATAACATTTTTATGCTAAGATAGTTGGAATCTGGTTTATGGGCACAAATTGTAAATCAATTGTTACTAGCAAATAAAATTGGAATATAAATTACAATTGAATCTTATTTGCTTGAATATTCTAGGAATGTACAAAAAGAAGATCGTACTCCAATGATTGAAGAGTACAGAGAATATAAACGGATAAAAGCCAGAGTCAGGCTTTTGGAAGTTCTTATTAGCAAGCACGATACAGCAAAATCACTTTAAGTTGGTTTGATGTTCATCAGTACTATCTTTACCACGAGCAATGCATTGAACGCTTTATCAATGGAACTGGTGCTTACCTCTTTTGTAACTTAACCCTTGCCTAAAGCCAATTTGTGCACTTACTCTGATGCTTTTTACATGGTAATGAGCAAAGGGTATTGTTGTATCTCAAGCTATGAACAGTAGATGGCTCCAGAGTAACTAAATCTATACTGACTAATGCTTTGTAAGGTTGATGCATCTTGTTCTGGAATTGACAATAATAATATATTTACTGTGGGTACTTAAATGTTTTTTTAATTATCTGTTAATGAAAGTGTATAATACTGAATCATTTACCTGTCCATAATCCATCAAGACTGATTACAAACTGCAGATTGATAGATTTATGTCATTTCCATCTGTGCTTGCTGTATTAAAAAGCTAGAAAATGTTTAACGTTTTTTTTTTTCAGTTCCAGAACCAAATTTTCAGTTTGGACTTCAGTTTTCTAAAGCATTTGTCATAAAGTTGCTACTCTGTTCAGAGCAGATTTCCTCTTGAACCATCGAAGTGGGCAGAGTCTGAGCCAGAAAGTTGTGGTATTACACTTGCTGTATATAATAGATTGAAGTTGTTTGTTACTGTAGTTTGCTGTCCACAATGGTACAGAAAGCACTAATATACAGTAAATGTTTACTAAATTGCTGTTACGTTTACTAAGTGTATTAACATTGAGATTTGTTCTGCGAAGTGAAATATTTGGCAGCATTTGATTTATGAATGTTTTAGTGTAAAATACCTGCTTTCAGTATAACTTCCTGTGCCACTTTTTATGCTGAAGACTGTTCTATAGCAGGACAAAGTGTAAAGTTTATTGTGCAGTGATCTTGTTTTTTTCTTAAACACTTTTGGAAACAATATGAAAACTTTTTGAGTCTCCTTGTCATTCAAAGAAATAAGATGGGTGTTGCTTTATAATACTATTTGTAACTGTGATTTCATTGCATGCATCTACTGTATGTGTAATTTAAGCAGCTATCTTTTTTGCATGATTTTAATAAGTAGTACTTGCAAAATCTCTGAATGTAAACAGCACAAGGACCCTTTATTGAAAGCAGAAATTTAATCTGGACTACAATGGTGCATCTTAGTTAGAAAATATCCATTGAGAGATATTGTGTACATTTTTGTACATGATCAGGTTTCGTCTTTGTGTAACAAAAACAGCAAAATGGTTAGGCACTGTAGTATGTTGAATATTCACTGTTTGAAAAATTACAATATTACTGCATTTAAATATGAAGACTTTAATAAATGCATGGTCTCAGCACTTTCAGGTGTTTTCTTGTGTGCATCCATGTACGTGATACATTGCTATCAAATGTATCATTTCCACATTTCAGTTTTAATCTGATATTTTTAAACCTGTTTATAATCTGTATATTTTACAATGTTGAAATTTTTAAACCAGTCTTATCCACACTTGCTTGATTCACAGTTAGAAATTGCTTAAGAATTTAAGGTTGAATTCAGTTTTACCGGAGTAAGTAGAAAAAAGAATCACAAAAACAATAACATTTAAAATTTGATCTCTGGAACAACATTCTAATATGTCGGAGATGTTTAAAGCCGTTTATTGCTTTGGAATAAACAAATTTCATGTAACGAAACCTTGGAGGGCAAAAACTTCATAATGTGCCATCATTTTTGCCACCCTGGAACTTTTGGTTTCATGTTATGAACTGTAGGATTTACCACAGTGCATGTTACATGTCAATTATTTATTTTTGAAGTTTAATATATCAGCTAGTTTTCCTAATATATATGCTGTGTCATTTACTTTTACTTTTAATAAAGTGTTTCCCATATTAGTCTGGCATTTACTTGAATGGATTCACAGTTTGTTAGAAAACCATAGCAATAGTTACACATCCAATTATAGCATATCCCAGCAACATTTGTCTTAATAGTATAACATGAAAATATATTTTTGCCAGTGTGCTGTGACATAGATCATAGACTGGATGTTACCATATTAATGAAAGCTAGGTAACGCAGATTTTATTTTTCTTTATTCATGTAGTTCAGTTTGTCAGTGATTTCTGAATGAAGTAGCATGCACAAAGCATTCAGGTAATTATCAAAAATTTCTAAAATGCAGTTTGCTTATCATCTGTCTGGCTGAAATGTGATTCTTCACAAGTGAAGTGCCTTAGTGTGATTTGGAATTTATTGACTTTACACTCAGCATCAAAATCTACAATCGGGCCTGAATTCCTAGTTGCCCTGAGCCATTGCTTGTCATTATTCAATGCACCAAATAAAATTTTTCCAATGTAAATAGTGACTCATCATTTCTGCATTTTCTATTCTGCACTGCATTTGGGAAAATAACAATAAGGTGAGAAAGTGAAGATGTTATAGAGATCCATTCATCATAATATTCAAGGGCCATGTAATGCACTCCTGTTCCTTTTGATATGACCTGAAATGAAAATTACCAGATGAATGAGCAGTGAAGGCAATTAAGTGAGGGCTGATCAACTAGTTATGTAGCAGATACATGCCTAACATAATCTTTTGGAAAATGGCTGCTGATATTTGGGTAGCACTAAATAAATCTGTCATACACTCGAAGATCAGCTAAATTAGAATCTGCCATGTATGAATCAAGTAAGTTCTTGGTGAGATTTGTGAAAAACAACTATTGGATTGAGATAACTGGTGCAGATGTTCCCTGCTGTATATCTTCTCTCTTTTCAACAGTTCCAAGGATGGATTTTTAGTTTTTCTATTCCTTTTGTCTCTTGATTGATCATCCCCCACCCCATTTAAATCAAACCAGAATTGTGCCTATTGCTATATGCATGACTTTTTAAATAAGCCTAATTTTTGTGTTAGATGTTTGGCTTGATTTGTGTGAATTTAGATTGCAAGGGTTGTATAGAAATTCTTTACAGTAAAACTTTACAGAGCAAACTTCAATTAATGGATCTTGTAGCAGATGAAACTTCTACACCCTAGAGGTTAGTGTCAGCAGGAATCTAAGTAACTTGTATTTGTACAAAGTTAATGTTAACAAAAGCATTCTAGAGAGGCTCCGAGTTGGGAGAGATTTGGAGACCGGGAGGTTGTAGAATCTGCTAGGGGATGAGGAGAAACAACAACATCTAGGTAAGATTAATTGTTCTCTGATTTGAAGAAGATATTGACAACATTAACCTATGACCTATCTATTAATGTTTTGTATGAAGCAAGATTGGAATTTGGCTAATGAGATGTTTATATGACCAAAATGTGGTAAAGAAATACTCAGTATTTATGTCTAACTGGTATAATGTGCTTGCTGCGTCACTTGAATAAAATGATCATAATCCTGTACTTGGTCTCCAGTGGTTGATTATAAGTTATTTATTGACTGGGCAGAGTGCTAATGGCACCAAAAAAAACTCAGCAGATTTTGTCATCTTAATGACAAACAAGTTTTGAGCAAGTTTTTGAACTTGGGAAAAATTACCCCTGGTGGCCAGTTTTAATCAGTTGAAATAAATGTATTTACCAGCTCAGTTAACTGGAAATTAATTTAAAGTTAATTGTTAATTATTGGAATCCAGTCAGTGCATACATCTGCAAGGTTAGGGAGAAGGTCACTGGTGGTGCTCTTTTTATTTAAGATAATACTTTCTTTAAAAAAAAACATTTGTTTGCTTTCACAATATGTGCGAGGTTAACATTTATTGTCCACCACTATTTGGCCATGGGAAGGCAATGCTGGGCTTTCTTGAATTCCTGCAGTCTGACAAAAGTGCATCCACAATGCCATTAGGTATAAAGCTCCGTTAACTTGATTGTGTGACAATGAAAAGATAGCAAGTCAGGATAGTGTGTGACTTGGAGGAAACATTTTGCTGTCCTTGCCCTGCAAAAAGGCAGTTTGGGAGATGCTGTAGTGCATCCTGTAGGTTGTGTACCTGATTCACTAATGAAAAAAGGTTGGGTGTTTGGGTTAATGAAGTGCTACAAGTGGACTAATCTTGAATGATAGAGTCTTTTGATTGCAGTTCAATCACCTGGGCAAATAGAGTACTAAAGACTTTCAAAAGTGAAGATGAGCTATTTACAACAGAATTGTCACCCTCTAACCTGTTCTAGCAACTGTAACATTTAGTCTGGGCTGTTGAGTTTCTGGTCATGGTGAGGCCCAGGATGTTGATGTTGGAGGGTACAGAAACTAATGCTCTCTGCAGTTATACAAGAGCACAACATATAGGAAGGGGGTAGGCCACTTGGTCTTTCAAACTTACACAACCACACACCATTCATCTATCCTTCAATTTCCTTGGTATTTTTAAAAAAAAAAAAAAAAAAATCTGTTGATCCCTGTCTCAAATGTATTCAAACAAAGCTCTCTGGGACAGCGAGTTCCAAAGTTTTTATAGAATTCCTACAGTCCGTGTACAGATCTACAGCCCATCAACTTTGCACTGACCTCTGAACAGGAACCTAACCACACATTAAATATGCACCATACCCCTGGCCTATACATCCCTGGACACTTGGTAATTTAGCGTGGCTATTCCACTTAACCAGCACACCTTTGGACTGAGAGGAAACCAGAGAATGTGCAAACTGCACACAGTTGCCGAGGTTGGAATTTAACCTGGGTTTATTGCACTGTGAGGCTGCAGTACTAACCACTGTGCCACTATGCTGTTCACAACCTTTTTGAATGAAGCAATTTCTCCTAATCTTTGTCCTAAAAGAACTATCCTGACATTGAGCCCTAGACTCCTCAGCTAAGTGAAACATCATTACCGCATCTACCCTGTTAGCTTGAATGTAATGTTTTGATAGAGTCAGTTTGTTTTTCTATAGGAAACATGGGTCGAATTTACTCTACCCTTCTCCCCAGAGTAAACCTCTCGTTCCGGACATTGATCTAATGATCTTCCCCTCAGGCATGTCTACCTTTCCTTGGGTAAAGACATAAGTTGTGCATTGCCACTTCCAGGTGGGGCCTAACCAAGATTCCATATGACTATTGTATGACTTCTTTCCACTCGTTATTCAACACCCTCTTGTGTTAAAAGCCTACCATATCACTTGTTTTTCTTGCTTGTTGTGATTTGTGTGCAAGGACATACAAATTCCTCTGAATATCAACTTTTACCACCTTTTGGGGGGGGGGGGAAAAGAAGTTGTGCTTTTCTGTTTTTCCTTCTGAATGGGACAACTCCATGTTTCCCAAATTATATTCCACCTGTTGTGTTCTTACTCTTTCACTTAATCTGTGTTGTGTCCTTTTTGAATTCCCCCTCAAGTTTCTCAACTATCCATGTCGTTAGCAAACTTGAATTTTTACTTGACCCCCTCAACAAAGTCATTGATGCAAGTTGTAAACAGTTGAGGCCCAAGCAATAAACCTTGCGGTACCACACTACATATTGCTTGCCAGTCTGAAAACTCTCATTGCTTCCAATTAATCAGGGCTCAATTCATATAAATATATCCTCTCCAACCCCAACGATCCTTAATTTTGTGCAATAATCTTTTCTGTGCATCTTTTTGAATGCTTTTTGGAAATTCCGAATATAATGCCCACCTTCTCTAACCTACACATTTATTAAAAAAAACATTCCGATAGATTTGTTGAGCACACTTTCCTCTTCTTAAATTTGTTCACTCTGCCTAATCCTTATTTTATATGCCCTGTTACCACATTCCTAACAATAGAATCCAGCAGCCACAGCCAACTTCCTGTTGAAGGCTTGTAGTCCTTTTTTCCCCCTCCCTTCACTTTTTTGCATGGAATTAGTTATGTTTGCTCCTTTCTGATTAGCTGCCTAGAATCTACGGAATTCTCGAAACCACTTCATCCAACAATTAGACATGATAGTTTTTCGGTTTGTTGGGAGTGCAGGAAACAATTCATAAATCTGAATGGTAAGACCCAAGGTAACCCAGTATTGGGCCTAAAGTTTGCAGGACAGCACAATTAGAGAACAGGACGCTACTTGTGTCACGCTGGCCCTCAGTTATGTGTGGAAGAAGAGGCTGAGTTAGCAGAAAGGAGCAGCAAGAATATAGAAATATGGTGATCTGGGATGGGGGAAGAGGTTACACAGACAAAGAACCTGTTAGAACCAGATTTGGGGTGATGTCCAGAATCTGAACATGTTTGTGATTTGGGAAGTATACCCTTCCACCCTGCTGTATGTAGATTTTTTTCTTAAAAAAAAAAAACTTGCCTTGTTAGTTGCCGTGTGCCCAATTTGGCCTGAGGTACGATCTGACTTTCTGGTGTGCGGGTGGCCTCTTATTTGAAACTAAGTGGATTGATATATATTTCTGTCCTGGGAAATGACTAATTTTATGACCACTGCCAAGATAGTGGATAGCACCAGTCTTCACCACAAATTTCTAATTTATAACAAAATTCCTGTATACCAGCATTTAGTGCCTGAAAATTGGGAGAACTGCAACTGAATATCCCAGTCTAATAATTTGGAAAGTATTTGTTATTACTAGTTTGCTTAAGTTAAAGTGATGGTGAGCTGTTATTTTCATTGTTTATTTTTATCCAAATATGTAAATATTTGCAGATCCATAAGTCACTTTACAGATTGTTTTCCTTATGAATTTAGTTATTTTATTCCTCCCACTGTGTTCCCTGACATATTTCCTACTTATAAACTCTAACTCTAGATTGCCACCTTTAGATACTTTACTACAATCTGTCTACTTAATTAATGACTTGGGATTCTGCAGCACATGGTAAAATCTGGAATCTGTTAGCTTCAATATTTGTATTTGAAAGTGACATATTTTCAGACTTCAGTAAACCAGAAAATATAACATGGATATCATAAGCAATGTTTTTATTTGCATCACATTCTTGTTAATACATTTTAAGCTCTAAATGTATTAAGACGTTCATTAAATCGGGTTTGTGTTACTAATGACTGTTCTCAAATGGCTAATCCAGTGCTTCCAAAAGTAGGACCGTTGCAGTTATAGTCTTTTCATTCAAAGTAGTCCTTTCATTTTTCTTGTTGAGTCAAGCATAGAGTTATGATACTAAATTTTTCTTACATTTCTTCTAAATTTCTTCTGATTCCGTAGACTGAATTAGAAGATGAAATAGCTTAACTGCTTTGATTATACAGTTGATCAAAAGAACCTGCCTCTTGACATTAAAGGAATTATATTATTTACACATCAAATTATATCATCTTAGTTTGTTGATGTATTATGAAAGGATTAATAACCCTCTGGGTATTGATTTTTTTTTAAAATTCCGTTCAAAGGTTCATTCTATTCATTAATTGGTGTCTGGCTCACGTGTGAAAAGAATGAATCTCAAGCGATTCCTTAGGCCAGTAGAGTCTTAATTTAAAAAAAAAAAAATCATTCACAGGATGTGGGCATCTCTGGCTAGGCCAGCATTTATTGCCCATCCCTAATTGTCCAGAAGGCAGATAAGAGTCAACCACATTGCTGACAGTCTGCAATCACATGCAGGACAGACCAAGTAAGGATGGCAGTTTCCTTCCCTAAAGGAAATTAGTGAACCAGATATATTTTTCCAACAATCAATAATGGATTCATAGTCATCATTAGACTCTTTAATTCTACCTGGGTCTCTAGATTATCAATTCAATGATAATACCCCTAGGCCATCGCCTCCCCTTGCTAAATTGATCTAGGAAGATTGAACTGCATTAAATTGTACATTCTAAAATATTTAGCAGTTCCCACATAGGCCCCAGAAGAAATGTATGTATGCGTGAGGTCTTGCACTACTTTGCCCCTCATATCAGTACTCTTGTCCTTCGTTTATAGCAAGCTGCATGATCCACCTTCAACAGCCGTCACTTGTTTTAATCGCAGTGGTTTACTCCTGCAAAGAAAACTTTCCTTTGGTGCATCTCCTTCAAAATTTGCATGTCATACTTAACAGCCATTGTGAACAGAGTGTTCAGTCCTATATTAGAGTCATAGTCATACAGCACAGAAACAGACCCTTTGGTCTAACTCATCCGTGCTGACTGAATTTCCCAACCTAAATTAGTCCCATTTGCCTGTGTTTTGGTCCATATCCCTCTAAATTGTTCCTATTAATGTACCTGTCTAAATGTCTTTTAAATGTTGTAACTGTACCTGTATTTACCACTTCCTGTGGCAGTTCATTCCATATACGGACCACTCTCTCTCTCTATGAAAAAGTTGCCCTCCTTAATGGCCCTCTTAAATCTTTCCCCCCTCACCTTAAAATTGTGTTCCTTAGTTTTGAACTCCCCAACCCTGGGGAAAAGATATTTGTTATTCACCTTTTCTATGCCCCTCATGATTTTATAAACCTCTATAAGGTCACCCTTCAA